TATTTGCATCACGTGCATTTTGACTTAGGGGACTCAACACGGGGGTTGGGTCCGTCTAGGACAGGTGTACCCGGAATAATGGACCATCCTGATGCATCCTACTTGTGCATTTATTTGTTTTGGACTCACATGCTGACCGGCCTTGAATATCTGGAAAAATTGGAAAAACAAAAAGAGAAAAAGAGAAAATAGCAGTGTAGAGAGTTAATTACCTATATTAGAAAAACCAATGTCCAAGTAGTGCCGAAATGCTGCCGGATTTTTGAGAAAATGAAAGAAAAAGAAGAAAAGTTTTTTGTCAGTTTGTTTGCCAATGGAAAAGATAAACCAAAAGAGTTTTATTTTCAAATTAGTTTGTTTATTTGCCACTGAAACGAAAATATAGAAAGGAATCTTGCTTTCATAAGTAGTGTATTTGCCAACAAAAACAAAAACAAAAAAAAGAGAGTCTTGTTTTCAAAATAGTTAGGTTTATTTGCCCGAAATACGCAGGTTTGATTCTCACCGATGTGAGATACGTAGGCAACCCTCATCGGGTCCAACCACCCTTTTTCAAAAATAGCCAAAAATACCAAGACTTTTTGTCAAAATAAGTCGGGTGCCGCCATTCTTGTTTAAAATAAGCCGAATGTCCCCAAAAGGGCGCCGGAAGGCTGTTTTTGCAAGAACAGCCACCCTGAGTCAGTTTCAACGGTTGGCAGGCACAGCCTTAAAATCTTCTCCCCGAAGTGCTGAAAGGCCGTAATTGCAAAACCGGCCATTTGTTTAAATTGGAAATTTGAACAAATAGTGTCATTTTTCATTGTTAGGTCAAAATAAGTGATTAAATCACCTTAATAAATGTGCAGGATGAGCACTACTCAAAATGAACCTTTTTCAATCATGCATAAAATCCCTTTGGAGTTGCGTCTGTGGTGGAACGACTTAGGAGGAGAAGGGCAGGATGAGGTCAAAAAATATTTGAAAGGGCTTACCGGTTTGCTGGAGATTGTGCCTCGGGGAGACATCATCAGAGCGTTGGTCACCTGTTTGGGCTTGTGGTATTTCCAAGGAAAGATGGAAACATTGACATAAAAATAGCCGGGGTCGTCAGCACTCTACTCACTCAAGCCAAAAGCACTCTTGCGCCCATGATATTAGCCGAACTCTTCCGCGCCCTTACAGCCTGCAAAGTCGAGGAGACTTTTTCGAGGGGTGCAATCTATTGTTGCAAATGTGGATGACCGAACACTTGTGCCGTCGTTCTCAATTCCTGAGTTGTGGTTCTACAAAGTAAGACCATGCATTAGAGGAGTTTTACACAAGGGATTAAGGGGATCAGCTTTGCCCGAGGGATTCACGGGGTCTAGACTTCATACTTTCGGTCCCTCACTGCTAGTCAAATGAGTGGACATTCGGATGGT